CTTCAGAAATGGTCCGAGATCGCTACTTCTGGCCTGGCCTTTACTCAGACGTAAAGAGGTATGTCAGAAGGTGTAGGAGGTGTACCCTGCGGAAGCTACCCAACACGAGGAGGTAAGCGGAACTCCTTAACATTTGCACAACTCGACCCCTTGAGCTGATCTGCCTTGACTTTCTCTCCCTCGAAAGGTCAAAAGGAGGGTTTGAGCATGTTTTGGTGATCACAGATCACTTCACCAGATATGCTCAGGCCTATACTACACGTGACCAGAAGGCCAGCACTGTTGCCAAGAACTCACAATTTCGATGTGTTTTTTTAATCATCGCGCATTTTTGTGAGCGCTGCATTCTTTTCAGTTTGCAGACTGTAAATTTCGTTTCAATCATCAACTTGAATTGTTACCACCTCGCTCAGTTCATTAGCCAGGGGAAACACTGCTCCACAGGGGAACGGCATGACGGAGATGTTTAACCGCACACTACTCTCCATGCTGGGAACTCTGGAGCCAACCAAGAAGGTGACACACGCTTATAACAGCACAAGACATGATTCAACTGGCTACTCCCCTTTTCATCTCATGTTCCTGCGAGGTCCGAGGTTGCCAGCTGACCTCATCATTGAACCAGTAGAGTCCCCAGACACAGCTCAAGCAGATGGATCTCACCATGGATACGTACAGCGACTGAAGAGGCACATGCTGGAGGCCTACCAACAGGTCAACACTGCGGCAACAAAGGCACGCATGAAGCAGAAGGTCAATTACGACAAGAAAGTTAGAGAAGCTCCAGTGCAGCTGGGCAGCAAATTGCTAGTCGCCAACAAGACGCCACGTGGAAAGGGGAAGCTACGAGACAACTGGGAGGAAATCCCTTACGTGGTTATACGGAAGCTCCAAGGGTTCCCGGTGTACACAGTCCGTCAGATGGGCTCTAGGAAGACGCGCACACTTCATCGTGACATAATCACAGCGTGCCCATTCGATGTGCCTGAAGAAGAATCCAAGTCTACACGGCCAGAGGAAATTGCAGAAGCAGCCCCCACACTGAGTCACTCCAAGTCAGAGGGTCTTCCTGGGGACTGCAATCCAAACACCAAGGTGTCGACTGAAGATGAGCCTCTGCAGTCTGGGACGGAAAGCAGCGCAACCCGCCAGTCTGTGCCCGATACCGCAAGTGAATATGAAGCAAGTGATGAATCTGACAGCTCAAGTACTGATGACGAACCGCCTCCAGCAGCGTATAATCTTAGGAGAAATATCAAATTCCCCAATAGACTAGGAAACTGGTGCCGAGAAGTGGCTTATAGTGACTGTTTAGCATTGTTGAGGACAACAATGGATTTAACCAGTGGTGAGTGTAAGGAGGAGAAATTCATTAGTTAGTTTTTTACTTAATTGCACTTGAAAAGATGTAGCTCCCCCTGGTTAACTTATTTTTTTTTAAGCAAAGTACACCCCTATGTGGTTTCCCCAGTGGTTCTCAAGTAACAACATAGACTCCTGAGTAGATAAGAGTAGTGTGAACCAGTGTGAAGTTATTTTTTGTTTGCTCTCCCAACAAAGTGATCTAGTGATCCATTTTTCCAGGTTACACTGGCACGTAAAAAAGACTAGCAAGAGCGGCGAAGCCGGGAGGGCCTTTACTATCTTGTGGAACTAATCACTTATTCATTTATTCACGTAATATAAATCAAGCAATATAAACCAATCATCTAACGGTGGTTTGCCGCTACCAGCAACAGCATGGTGCGCGTGCTGTCTGGCGCCAGACGACAGCTGATTTACATTGGTAATTCTGCATTTTCATTGGTCAATTCACAACGGTAATGCATTATTCATGTCTACCAAATCGGTAGACAAATGTAAAGAAAAACATAAGCGTTCTCCACGAGATGGTAAAGGCTCGTGCTAGTCTTTTTACGTGTCAGCATCCAGGGTGCGTCACGTGTCCGGGTAAGCACGTGGGACTTGACTAAAGGCTACATAGCAGCGGGTACTGGTGTGATGGTTGCTGAGTCGAATGCAAAATGCATATGCCTGTGCAGACGCTCACTTACGTGATGTGGCACGACATGGTATGCAGTGCTATTCACGCATACTGGCCAATGGTATCGCCTGCGTGCCCGTCCTTTTTCCATTGTTGCGTCCTATTGAGCACGCGCTCAAACTAATTTTACCATTGAGCAATATGATTTTACAGTTTGTTTGTGACTAGATGAGGTATTCAGATTATTTGCATCGCTTGATAAATAAGAAGTCAATAATTTGTTTTCCTGAAATGCGAGCAAAGTGCCCAACATGTAATTGAAATGGTGTCCAGGGAAAAAAGTCAAGACAGGACAGATACAGACTTTATTCCAAATTTAACTTTAATAACCTTTACCTTGTTATAGTACACTGATTACACAATAACGTAAAAAAAACCCCACCACGCACATACTCCTCCTTGAGGGTGTTATAATAATAATAATAACAGGTTCTTATATAGCGCTTTTAACTAAGATCAAAGCAATTTACATTATTATTACCCCTAATCATTGGGCCAATTAAACATTCCATATACCATCTCGGCTCCCTGGGGAGTACACAGCTTGATGCTGCCTGTTGGGCTCAAAGAAGCTAATTCAATCACAATAACCATCACTGCCCTCATAAGTACCCCATTTACTCCTGGGTGGAGAGAAGCAATGAGTGACAAAGTGCCTTGCTCAAGGGCACACGCACCATGACCCTGCCAGGACTCGAACCCACAACCTGCAGCTTTACCCACAGACCACGAATCAGTGCCCTTAACCACGAGGCCACAGCACTCCAGGGTGTTATTTTAAGGAAAATAATGAAGGAAACAATTTTTTTTGCAGGCGCGATTAACAATGTAAACAATGGTAGCATAAAAAGATTCGAGAGTAGAGCGGGTAATGAATATGCATACCATGACGTCATCACAGCCATATTCGTGTCGTCACACTCGCGCGAAAATATGATCATCGGTAATTAAGTGGGGCGACACTAGAGGGTGGTGGCGCGACAGTAGAAAGAGGACTTGTTAAATGTGATGATCATCGGTAAGTGGGGCGACAGTAGAGGGTGGCGGCACGGGGTCCGCTCATAAGTCCGACGCCTCATTGGTCCGACGCCTCATAAGTCCGACAAAATCGTATCCCCTAACCAAATAAAGGCCCATAAGTCCGACGCCTCATAGGTCCGACGCCTCATAAGTCCGACGCCTCATAGGTCCGACGCCTCATAGCTCCGACGCCTCGTAAGTCCGACAAATTAAACGCCTCGTTTTTCCGTTGTCGGACTTATGAGGCGTCGGACCTATGAGGCAGAATAAATAAATGTTATGCCTCATAAGTCCGACGCCTCATAAGTCCGAAATTTCGGACTTATGAGGCGTCGGACCTATGAGGCGTCGGACTTATGAGGCGTCGGACCTATGAGGCGTCGGACTTATGGGCCTTGAGGGTGGTGGCGCGACAGTAGAAAGAGGACTTGTTAAATGTGATGATCATTGGTAAGTGGGGCGACAGTAGAGGGGGGTGGCGCGACAGTAGAAAGAGGACTTGTTAAATGTGATGATCATCGGTAAGTGGGGTGACACTAGAGGGTGGTGGCGCGACAGTAGAAAGAGGACTTGTTAAATGTGATGATCATCGGTAAGTGGGGCGACACTAGAGGGTGGTGGCGTGACAGTAGAAAAAGGACTTGTTAAATGTGATGATCATCGGTAAGTGGGGCGACACTAGAGGGTGGTGGTGCGACAGTAGAAAGAGGACTCCACTAAACGCGAATACATACATTAAGTGGGGCGACAGTACATGTACAGTTTAATTTTATTTCTTTCGGGGGGAGGATGGTCTCACACCATCCTAACACCCCTATTTGGTTTTCCGAGTCTTTGACGCTCACTGTTGGTCCGGGCTCCCCCCCCCCCCCCCCCGCCCCTTATAAACCGCTGAACAGGGGTTTTGCTCGTTTTCGTCCTGACTGAACTCTGTGGTGGCCGTAAACAATGAACACGCTGCATGCAGTACATACAGTGCATCTATACACGTACCGTGATATATTACTCGTGAGCTTCTAGTGACGTCATAGTCATGCATATTCATTACTCGCTCTACTCTCGAATATTTTTATGCTACCGTAAACAATAGGGGTGCACCCAATCAAATATTTCCCCATATACAGCAGTGATAAATGCCCATACTTCAAAATTGTTTTTAAAAAGTACTCAAAACTCTCACAGGTGTTCAGGCTGCACAGGACAATGATGATCAACATGTCATCTTTCATATTCTTTTCAATATTTGGTGGGTTGACTGATGTCCGATCGAGAAATTCTCACCCAAATAAGACGCCCCCTAAAATGAGTGATGTTCCCAAAGTGGAAAAGTAGCCATCTTGAAAAAGGGTCCCTCCTCAACATGGCTAAATAGCGCCACTTTCGGGCCCGATGGCATCCAATATGCTCTGAATTTGAAGCCCCAATTTCTTGGCTCTCAGAACTCTGTAATACAGAAAATTTAAGTGTATAACTTTAATTCAGGAGCTCAGCGGAAACATTTTGGGCCTATTTACTTGGGTGCACCCATAGCTAGCGACCTCCAAAAAGTTTTTTCCCGAGAAAGTTCCTGTTATTCTTCAATTGCAGTGTTTTATACAACTTATTGCTCTTTCCCCAAAAAGCCATAGTTTTCTGACACCTACATCTACAGAACTAAAGGTCCGATTCAGTTGTAGTTTCTTGTTAAAGTGTTATACCATATTGACATAATGACGAATCACTTCGTCTTCACATGTCACAGAGCTCTTCCAAAAACATACGAAGCAGCTTGTGTTGTTGCAACCATCAACTACAGTATACTACTTCAGTATGTATTGTAACATGGAAAATATCATTTTTAACTTGGAAAGCACCTGAGTATACAGTGTTTGTAAAATGAAGTTGTTTACATCACACAACCTCTGTCAAAAAGTAATGTATTCTTATTGATGGTAGATTCAAGCCATTTTATAAAATTCATTTTATTTCTAAGGTCTACTCAAGTCTATAAAAAAGAAAAATAAACTGTATAAAGTATTTCTTACAAAACCTTCTGAGATCAACAAACTCAAATATAACAGATATAAAAACAAATTAACCACCGTTATTAGAGCCTCCAAGAAAATATATTACTCAGAGTCTTTTGAGCAACAAAAAAACAACATAAAAAATACCTGGAAAATCATAAATGAAATTTTAAATAAAAAGCGCAAAAACATCAAGCCAGTTAACTCGATCAAAATAAACAATAATGATGTTAACGACCCTCAAACGATTGCAGAGCATTTCAATCAACATTTTGTTAACATTGGTCCAGATTTAGCTTCTAAGATACAACATAGTACTTCTGACCCGATAACATATATCAAAGGTAACTTTCCCGATTCTCTATTCTTAAGCCCAGTCACCGAGGAAGAACTATTTGATTGTATCAGTAAACTTCCAAATAAGAAGAGCTCTGGTCATGATGAACTTGATAATATTTTGATAAAAAATATTGCTCCTTTTATTGTTCACCCTTTAACAGATATTTTTAATCACTCTTTAATTCCCGGAGAGGTCCCTAATGAACTTAAAACTGCTAAAGTTACTCCAGTTTACAAAAATGGTGATCGTTCCAATGTCACTAATTATCGCCCCATATCTGTATTGCCATGCTTCTCAAAATTGCTAGAAAGGTTAGTTGCAAACCGTCTTGAAAAATATATTGCTAAATTTAACATACTGTCACAATCTCAGTATGGCTTCAGGGCCAAATATTCAATTGAACTTGCCTTGATTAATTTAGTTGATAAAATAACATCTAGTCTGGACAAACGTGAACATACAATTGGTATTTTTTTTTTTTATCTTTCTAAGGCATTTGATACCATAAATCATGATATTCTAATTAATAAACTACAAACATATGGTGTCAGAGGTACTGAACTCGAGTGGTTTAAAGATTACTTGAGAAATAGGAAACAATTTGTTGTCTGGCAAAATAAAAAGTCCAATTACAAACCAATCACATGTGGTGTACCTCAGGGCTCAATCCTAGGACCTATCTTATTTCTTATTTATATTAATGATATTTGTAATTCTACTCGACCTCTGACGTTCTTTTATTTGCAGATGATACAAATATATTTTACAGTAGTAAACATTTGAATGATGCTGTTGACATATTGAACAATGAGCTAACTAATGTATTTGAGTGGTTTGTATGTAATAAATTATCTTTGAATTTTAAGAAAACACATACGATGTTTTTTACAAATCGAATTGTAGATAAAAGTATTCAGATTCGTTTTAACAATCATCATATTGAAAAGGTTGATTCCTGTAAGTTTTTGGGGGTCATTATTGATGATAAGTTAACGTGGAAAAATCATTGTCAGAAAGTCCTTACAATTATATCTCGCAACCTTGGTATTCTTAGAAAACTGAGATATTTTGTCCCATCCCGTGTTCTATTTTCAATTTATAATACGTTATCCTTGCCTCATCTTCAATATGGTATACTTGCCTGGGGTGATACTCATAAAACCTATCTTGATAAATTGCTCGTTTTACAGAAGAAATCTTTAAGACTGATTAATGGTTCTAGTTTTAAGGATCACTCTGCCCCGCTATTTGTTAAGTTCAACACCTTATCTGTATATGATCTTTATAAATATAAATTGTGTGCTCTAATGTATAATTTTGAAAAAAACATACTGCCTTTGAATATTAAATCGTTTTTTGTAATGAACACAGATATTCATCATTACGACACAAGATCGTCAAATAAGCTTCATCTTAATAAAGTTAGAACATCCCTACACCTCTCAACTGTACGACACCAGGGGCCCCTCCTTTGGAATAAAATTCGATCTCTCTGCCCAATGACCTCAATTAGAGCATGTAAATTGTATTATAAAAAACTACTTCTCACTACGGCTAATATCAATGGTGATTAAGAGCAAAATTATTACTTTATTGCCAAGTAAAATTATTAACAACACATGTAAAGCCAAGGATGGTAAATTTACTTCAAGTAACTTATTCTTTTTTTGTAAAGTTTTGCATGAGCTCGTGAATTTAATGTAATCACATATTATTGATATATCCTATGATTATTCATGAATTGTATAACTACATGTATTCTTTGTGAAGGGGGCAGACCTAGTACAAGCTTCGGCTTCTTGTCTGGCCTCCCCATACTATTATTTCAAAGTTTCGTTAAAATGTTTACCTGATGTATATTATTCAACTTAATTACCATATAGTATGGAAATAAACCTGAAACCTGAAACCTGAATTTTTTTTATTAAAATGACAAATTTGGTAATGTTTCCTAAAACGTTCCTTTACTTGAGTTGTTTTGAAATAATGTAGTTTGTCATTTCTCATATTGTTTTGCTTCTACTCGGTTGTATTTGTTTTCTTTTTCAGAACTGGCAATGCATGTCTCCAGTTACTCCTAAGTTGTTGAGAGAGCTCTTTGATGAGGTTCCGATATTGAGATGCATTGGCTACGTTCTGCATTTCCAGAGGATCAACTTTGTAACTATAAAGCTCTCTTGCCACAGGTTCTGTCCAATTAACTGCATAATCTGTATGGTTGAAGGAAAGCCACTCCACATATCGATACTTCTTTGTATGCATAGAATATCCCATTAAATTAATCTCAGTCAACTTGGGTGTGTTAGTTTTATGGGAAGGAAAGAAAGTTGGTCGAGGGTACTGACTGAAACTTGCATTCTTCCATCGAACAATTAACCCACAATTCACTGTTGCAGTGACATTACATATAACAGGGAGAAGGCTAACACCCTCTGCACAGAAATCAGTATGGAAGGTGTCTATGGGGCACACTGGGGGCACAGTAATCCCTGCAATCTTTGACAGTGTTGGAAAAATATCAACAAGCTCAACTAAAGCATTGCTTACAAACCCTAGTGATTGATTGTACTGTGGTGTGACATTGTCAAATGCATCCTGTTGTTCAGTCTGATGGATTCTGTCAAGTGGGTCAATAAGACGGAATTTGTGCTGATGTGGCCAGTGTTTGTCGGTAACCTTAGGTATATAGAACATGAGAGGCACTCTTGTTGCAGAGTCATAGTTGCTGTACTTTGACCACTCCTGGTGCTCTCCAAGCTGCCAGCCTGTCATGAAGCATAACAAAAACAAAACAAACAAAAAATAAATTTAAGAATGCCCTCTTGAAACCAACAATCAGAATTATATTTCACACAGCATACAGACAGTATTTGAATTTAAAAAAAAAATATCAGACTTATAAATTTTAAATAAATTTAAACAGGGATTAATAATTTGGTATTAATAATTGTGGGGGAAAATCTTACATACTGATCATGATAGCAATCGTGGACTAAAAGCATCATTGCAAAATTATATGCACATGCAACCTGATATACAAAATGATCTTGGGTATATATCAGCATTCCAGCATGTCCAGACTCAACCAGTCTTAAACATAGTGTTTTACACATCCCAAGCACACACTGATTCCCTTATTAAATCAACAGCATTAGTGATAATAAATAGTGGTGAATATCGTGAAGATATTGATTGTGAAATAAATCAGAAACCATCAGCTACAAGCCCTCCACATCCACATACCATTGTATGCCTTTGTTTCTGGCCAAGTGTTCACTGTTTTATCAATCAGCCATATTATCTGCTTTGATCGCAAGTGCCTATTACAGGACATGATGGGGACAGTCATATTTCGAATGAAGTCCAACTACAGGGTGGTTCAAAATATAGTAAATCCACTTCTGACAGCAATTTTCACCTACTTTAACCTATTTCAATTGTTTCTTCACAAAGTATTTAAGTTTATCCCTTTAACAATGCCTGTTGGAAAAAGCTTAGTAAAAGTCGCAAGAATAGTGATGTTACACTAATTGGAATACAAGTCACCAAAATCAGTCTTGTCCACGTGTTATTCTATGCAAATTGGACGTTTTTGTAGTTCACAAACATTAGAAACCTTGCCGATGAAATGTTTTGACCTGGTAACTTTTATTGAGCTGTCTGATTAGTCATGTCAGCTGTAGGTTTAAGTTCATTGATGCATAACATTACATAACAATCAAGAAAAATAACAGCAATGCTGTTGAAACCCCTCAGCCAGAGTCAAGTTATCATTTGGAACCATTTACATTTAACTCACCACGGTGACCTTGACCTTTGACCCCCAAACCAATCCCAACTTGCCTGTACCCAAGGGCAACCCTCTACCAAAGTTAGACACCAAAATCTCATTTCTAACTCAAGTTATCATCCGGAAACCATTTACATTTAACTCACCGGTGACCTTGACCTTTTGACCCCAAAACCAATCCCAGCTTGCCTACTCCCAAGGGCAACCCCCTACCAAAGTTAGACATCAAAATCTCATTTCTAACTCAAGTTATCATCCGGAAACCATTTATCTTTAACTCACCATGGTGACCTTGACCTCTGACCTTTAGACCCCAAAACCATTCCCAACTTGCCTACTCCCAAGGGCAACCCTCTACCAACGTTAGACACCAAAATTTCATTTCTAACTCAAGTTATCATCCGGAAACCATTAACCTTTAACTCACCGCGGTGACCTTGACCTTTGACCTCAAAACCAATCCCAACTTGCCTACTCCTAAGGGCAACCGCCTACCGAAGTTACAACCCCAAACAACATTTCTAACTCAAGTTATCATCCGGAAACTAAGCTACCCGGACGGACGGACGTTCCAGCCAGACGGAATTGTGGGGTGATAGCATTGTGTTCCCATTATCCCTTTTTCTAAAGATTCCCTTCTGGGGTGATGTTTTTCTATTGTGAAAAAAGTGGGGTGATGTGTCCTGAAAGGAACATCACCCCACAAGGGTGGTATGGTCAGAACAGACATACAGACGGACGGACGCCCTAGGCGATGACAATACCCCTCGAGCCTCTCGGCTGAGGGGTAAAAATGACACTCTGGAAGCAAGTGTAAGCACGTGTATGGCATGAGTGTACATTCCTCATTGGGCAAGACCTACAAGCAGCACGTGTTTTAACAATCACTTAACAGCACACGGGGGCTTCCGTATGTCGGGTACCCCGCTCCATGCATGCTTATGGATATTGTGTAATCTGAAACTAAATGTGCCCGACTATAGAAAATAAACTGGCGATGTGTCCTCTCTCAAAACAACACAGTTTATGGCAGCCAGTTTCATTTCTTTTGTATGTTTTCTTCGTTTCAATAACTAGGTGTACCAGAAATATAAATCATTAATATGCTGGCAATGCTGTTCCTATTTCCAGACCGTTATGGGTTAAAATTCATGTAAAAAATCACTATTTTTGGCAATATTTTCATGATGCTTTTTATCTGTCGAAATGAAAATAAAAAAAAAAACAATCAAAGATATGTCCCTTTTCTTGACTGAAATTCTGGAAAATGATTTATTCATAAAATCAGAAGTCCAAAGTTAAATACTTTGAGCTGGATTTTACTAAAACACTTGAATACTTGAACCACTTGCACTTTCAAAGAACATTGCTTACAAAGAAAGTTTCTGAAAAAAATAGAATGACTCAATTATAAATATAAAGCAACTTAAAAAAGTGAACTTAAAAACTAAGCCAAACTTTCTTCAAAGTGTGAGGTTACTATGCTCTAGGATGTACATGTACACACTTTCTTGCTATATTTCATGTACTTAAAAAAATTCCATACCCTGCCCACAAGGTACTCATTTAAGGACAATAACAAGACCACTCCTTTAGTCAGCCACTGCTACGAAACGGGTTTCCTGTCCGATTTTCCAGGGGCACTACTGAACACTCGCATAACCTCGTGCAATCTCGCATGGTCCCAGATGGTCAACTCGCTGCAAATAAAATCTCGCTGTGTGGCTCATTATCGAGTAGGCTGCGGACTGACTGACCCCTTGGAGAGGGGGTCGTCAGCGACGTTCTCCTCACCTGGGAGGTGGACTGCTAAAAACGTGACATTGTGGCGCATACACTAATGGAGGAGTTCCCATGTGAGTGCACACAGTTGGGCAGACTGCATGCCCCCCAGGTGGCATTGTCGCATCGAAACCCAGGACTGCTTGGCCCACTACTGATACCCGAAAACATTTAGGAGCGTTGGAGACTGCCAACATCTCCAGTATGTTCATGTGACTTGAGCGGTGTTCTGGGCCCCACCGACCCACAACTTGGCGCGGGTGGATGTTGGCCCTCCAGCCAAAAAGTGACGCATCTGTTATGACGGTCAGCAATGGCCGGGGTCTGTGAAAGAGGTTGACAATGTCGAGCCACCACCGGAGGTGCGGTATCAGCCAGGACGTGGTTGGCATTGGATGATATATGTGGTGATGATTAGGCCGGCAAAAATCTACGATGTCCAAATAGCTGGCCATGAGGCCTAGCAGCCTGAGCCAGGTTTGAGTGGGGCCACTGTTGCCGGAAGGAACAGGAACACGCACTGACGAAAGTTCGACACGCAAATAAAATCAAGAAGGTTCAGACAAATAAATCTGTTCAGGGGTTTAAAGATTAGGATGGGGCGCCAGCCTCCTTCTTGGACACCATGAACCCTGATCGCGTCTCCCCCGAGGGAAGTACGCATACTGCCCCTTTTTCGAGGTGGGAATTGATCTACCCATTGAGGGAGCAGCCTTTTGTTTGGTAGGTTGGATCTGATTGATCGAGTACCCACTGGTTGGACGTAATTAGAGTCTCGAAGACGGCCTCCTACGGGTTTGACGGCGGGAGGTCGACACAAGTTTGGCAAGTCATTTACGCTAGCCCCCAGGTTAACGGGGTGCAGGTGCCAGTGAACCATGGCCAGGTTGGGGCCATTGTCGTCCGACGAATGACTGAGTCTGCGCGGTAGGGCTACAAAAACCACCACAGTTAGACCTCAGTGGTTTGCAGCGGGGGATAACACAAGACAGTTTGTTCTTACTCTGTTCAGGCCTGGCCGTGGAGGTTGGTGGCTTCTTGAAATCGATTTTCTCAGTAGCATTCAACCATTTTGCCTCGGCTTGTATGTTATCCTCGAATTTTACTGCATAAGATCCATGCCTGTTAGAGGGAGGGTCTCAAATTCCTTGGAGGTGCCCGGCGATGGGAGAAAAAGTGCATCAAGCAGAAAAGTGGAGGCTCGCGAAGCATACATGCTGCGGGGCACTATGGGTAGGGCGCCAGAGGGCGCTATTGTGTAAACTCTTAATAACGTGAACACCTGCAGGTTTAGGGAAATATGCATAAGTAAATTGCTCTACAGGTAAGTTGAGTGAAGTAGACACTGGTATTTCAACAATCAGAAATCAACATTATGTGACTATTAGGCCAAAAAAAAAAGTCTCCGGTTTCTGGTATGCGCGCGCGTCGCCGTAGCCATGCGCGTCGGAAAATGAAAAAGTTTTTTTTTCAATGAAAAAAATCGCCAAACTCACTGGTTTGACTGGAATCCTGCTGCTGCACAATTTTAACGTGTTTTTAGATTGGGTTATGGTCGTGTTGTTTATAAATTCAATCCAAGAGCAGCTGATCTTAGCATTATCATCCAAATATACTGTGTTTGAAATCTACAGATGAAGTTTAATGTGGCTTCATTTCAAGATGAAGTTTATGTTTTTAATACTTTTGCAGATTGTTATCCAGCCTTCCATACGTACTGAAAATAATAAACGAGTCTTCAAAAAGTGGTTACTTTGATTGGTCAAGCGATGTTGCTGCATATGCATAGAGATGGTGTTGCATATGCATCGATGAATACAGGCTCGTGCACGCGAGGGGGGGGGTGCTGATGGCAGATTTATCAAGTCGGAATTGCTAACTTTTGCACCACATGTATGCACATGCTCTGCAATACATGCACACACATGTACGTGTAATACGCGTGCTGTACAATGTACATACTGTGTGTGCGTATTGTTATACGGCATTGAAGTTGAATGCACGCTGAAGTGTACCTTGTCGGGCATCTGGAAAGACGTAAACTAAGTGATGTTTGCTACTTTTTTTAAGTAGATGTTTGCTACTTTTGTTTCGGGTCTGGTGTGCCCATGTTTTGGGTCTGATATGTCCATATGTTTCGAGTCTGGTGTGCCCATATGTTTCGGATCTGGTGTGCCCATATGTTTTGGGTCTGATATGTCCATATGTTTCGGGTCTGGTGTGCCCATATGTTTTGGGTCTGATATGTCCATATGTTTCGGGTCTGGTGTGCCCATATGTTTTGGGTCTGATATGTCCATATGTTTCGGGTCTGGTGTGCCCATATGTTTTGGGTCTGATATGTCCATATGTTTCGGGTCTGGTGTGCCCATATGTTTTGGGTCTGATATGTCCATATGTTTCGGGTCTGGTGTGCCCATATGTTTTGGGTCTGATATGTCCATATGTTTCGGGTCTGGTGTGCCCATATGTTTCGGGTCTGGTGTGCCCATATGTTTTGGGTCTGATATGTCCATATGTTTCGGGTCTGGTGTGCCCATATGTTTTGGGTCTGATATGTCCATATGTTTCGGGTCTGGTGTGCCCATATGTTTTGGGTCTGATATGTCCATATGTTTCGGGTCTGGTGTGCCCATATGTTTTGGGTCTGATATGTCCATATGTTTCGGGTCTGGTGTGCCCATATGTTTTGGGTCTGATATGTCCATATGTTTCAAGCCTGGTGTGCCCATATGTTTTAGTTCTTTGGCTGTGTCATATGCCTAAACACAAGAAATGGTTGGGTATGTTTTCCTTTGAGTCTAAGCATAATGCCAACTTTATTTCCCTAAAGCATAAGAGAAGTATGTTTCTGTTTGTAATGGGTGTAATAATACTAGACAAATCCCTGGCAAAATTGCTTGTTACTGTAGGCCAAACCAATTTAGCTTTAATGTAATTTTGTTTCAACAATACCATGCTATTGGGGTATACTGTTACAAGCACTTAGCACATAAATGAAGACAAGGTTTCTTCTTCTTCCTCTTTATGACCTTTTGTTAATGTGTAGAGAATTAAAAAAAATGTTATAATAATCTTGATTTTACCATGATCACCAACTAATGCAATGATTGAGCTATCCGCAAATCCCTCTTCCTCCAGTGTTGATAGAACACGGCCAATTTCATAGTCCACATAGGAAGTAGCTGCAAAGTATGACTGCCGCATCAGAAGCTGTTGGACAAAGCACAGGCAAAAGTTGTCAATACTGATTCTTGTAAGTGATATAAAGCATATAGCCTTGTATTAAAGTCCCCCCCCCCTCAGAAGTGTGGATTGGGTCTACGAACAAACACTTACCTTACTTGTGCATATTTCCCTAGACCAGCAGGTATTTACGCTAAGATTTACACAAAAGAGCCCTCTGGTGTCCTACCCATAGTGCCCCTCACTCTTTCTCAATTCTCGAGCGCTAAGTCGGAGCACCCATGTTTCTCTAGATCGAGAATAGTGGGGTAGGAGGAAGGGATGCTCTACAGGTAAATTTTTGTTCGTAGACCCCATCCACACTTCTGTGGGGGGGGGGGGGGGGGTACTTCACTCAACTAACCGAGGGTAGAGCAATCTACTTATGCACAGACTTGCACCAGGTATTAGGCGGTGGGTTATGCGAGATGCTCTTGTATAATTGTACAATATTGAACCACAGCCCACCGGTACATAATATAAGTGCACGGTGGGGCAAAAATGATCACTATAGGCAAAACCATTATGACATAATTCATATCTATCATATGTAAAAAGGTTAAAATAAGGAATCAGAGTAAGGAGACTCATCTATGCTAGAGAGGTCCTCGGTTGGAGATGGTCTTGTGACCATGACAAGGTTCAGCTAGCTGCCCTCAGCACTGCTCTCCCTGTTCTGCCCTCTGTCAGGAGAACGTCCTTCAAGTAACACTCGGTGAATGTGTTGGGAGTTTTCCAACATGCCGCTTGCGTGATGTAAGAGACATCCTTAAAGAAGGCCCAAATGGTGGAAGCCGCCCCTGCCGGTGATGCGTCCACGGTTGACTTGATGGCTGTAACTAACCAATGGGCGATTGTGTAGCGAGAAGGCAGCCGATATGGTTGGGTTGTCGTTGCCCAGAGCTGGGCAAAGAAAACCCGAGCTGGGCTGGAACAGAATGTCCGCTCTCCGCTGAAGTACCATTGGCCGGTGAACCAGGAGTCTGGTTAGCCTTGGGCAACATGGTTGGCGGGCCAGAAGGGAGCTATGAGGAGGACTTTGTAGTCCACCTGCTCAAGTTTGGTCAGTACCCGTACGGGAGGAAGGTGTAGACAAGCAGCCCATCCCACCGTATCATCAGTGCATCCTTCTGCCACGTGCTAGGATCGGGTAAAGACTCGGGGCGAGGTAGAAAGGCCGAATGGGAGCACCATGAATTTGTAGCAGATGTCTTTGTATTGGAACCAAAGGAATTCCCAATGCTCCCACCTGATAGGAACGAGTAGGTATGCGTCCTTCAGGTCTAGGCTGGCCCCCCATGCTGGCTTGTGTATTGACTCGGGATAGTCTTGAGTGTGTCCATACGGAAGCACTTTGGATGAATAAATCTGTTCAGATCAAATTTTTGACAGGGGGTGCTGGAATTTGTTTAAGACAATCGGCGAGTGCAAAGCGCGAAGCCATTTCGGCATGGGTCCGGGTCCGGGGGCCACTTTTTGGCACTATTTCACCTTTTTTTTGGGGGGGGGGGGAAGAAAGTTTACACCAGAATGAACCATGTACATGTATGTAAAAAAACCCAATAATAATTATTGTTTCCATTATGCACTTTTTGTGAATATTTTATTAACTGACCCAACGCATTGTTTATCAAAACTGTAGAAGACTATAAAGTGCTGTTGAAATAAAATATTTAGCCAAGGGCGTCAATCGCTTCTCAAAAGTGGGGGGACATACCTTGATACCTGGAATAAGAAGTAATGTGAGCGCGTAGCATGAAGCCCTAATGGTGTGGGGTTCGGGGCCCGCTTAAGGGCCCCCAAAACAAGTCAGGTGTGTTTACAAACACAAATGCCCCGCAACCGTGACTGTTCCCGTGACATAACATAAACTTTACATGTACCTTGGTCACATGGAACGTTCATTGACAGCATTAGTGTCTTCTGTAGGTTTTATATGAATTAATGCCTAATCCCTATGATCTCAGAATAAATAGAAGATTTCTATTGTTTTATCCACTGTGACCTTTACCCTTGACCTTTTGGCCCCAAATGCAATAGGCTTCTTAGGATTGCTAAGGACAATCCACAAACCAAATTTGACGTTCATATGTAAAGTATTTCTCAAGTTATCGCGCTGACAAAATTTCTTGTGTTTCAGCCACTGTGACCTTGACCCTTGACCTTTTGGTCCCAAATGCAATAGGCTTCTTAGGATTATCAAGAACAATACACGCACAAACCAAATTTGAAGTTCATACGTAAAGTATTTCTCAAGTTATCATGCTGACAAAATTTCTTTTGTTTTAGTCACTGTGACCTTGACCCTTGACCTTTCGGCCCCAAATGCAAAAGGGTTCTTAGGATTACCAAGAACAATACACAAACCAAATTTGAAGTTCATATGTTAAGTATTTGTCAAGTTATCGCGCTGACAAGATTTGTCCGGACACACACACACACCCACCCACCCACCCACACACGGAAGGACAAGGCTTCGCCGCGGGGCATAAAAATCTGGACCCTAAACGCTCTGTGGTGCAATCTGAGGCAATTTCTGACCACTAAAATCAATTTATTTTTTAGCTAAAAAGATCATTTTAACATAATTTTTGAGTTCGGAGTCATTGAATCATGGCTGAGCTATATATAGAATCATATATATTCATAAAGTTCTGACAAAAACCGTTAAATCAAATAGATTTTAGTTTACATGTGGTTTACACAAAAGTGGCGACGCACACAGTAATGTTAGGCACAATCGGTCGATATTGGAGCCATGTTGACACTTACATATTAGCACGGTTTGAAATTGCCTTACAGCTTACTCGGCCAAAACTCAATGGACTCCCTATTAAAGGCCAAAAAGAAATATTTCTGCTTCCGCATACCTCTAAAAAATAGGGTCGGTAGGTCGGAAATTTTTCTTTTTGCCAATTTTTTGTGCTGATTGAATGGGGTATTCAGTCATATGCGAATTTCAGCCTGGACTATTTCCATTGCACTACGAAAGGCTATACGAAAATGGCCACAAAAAGTAAAGATTACCTTAATAATTATTAGAGTATTAACAGTCGATAAATATTTTTAAACAATTGAAAATTCAGGTCATGCACACCATAAGTACAAAGCTAGTCAAAAGGGGAAACTGCATGGCCAACACTGTCCATAAATCGCGCGCGGTATAAGCATAGATAACCTCGTTTTAACTTCGGGAAAACACGCTGCATCAAATTGTGAGTAGTACGTCACAACCTCGAAATAAAATAAATTCATGAACACGGAAAATACATACACAGACATGACAGATCAAGTTCTGTGAATTAACTTGCAAAAAATATTCTTTCTCCATCGGTGTTTTCTTGGCATTTTTACGATGTCTAATTCGACCGTACCTATGCTGCAACCGTGCACCGCGGCCATGAATAGATTACCGGTTACTGCTTTTCCATTGTGCCTTCTTTGGCCCTTTGGAGGCGTGGCAGGAAGCAGTCATCACTGCACTGAGCATTACACACGTGTTTTGAATTGCAAACTTGTCATCGTGAAGTGAACTTAAAAACAACGAAGGTTTACTTACTTACTGTGTAAGCGAGATAGGTCTGTAACCAGACTATTAAACTGACGCAGTGGTTAAGTGGCTACTGGCTAGTTTAGTACAGTATGAGTGGGCAGGTGAGCGGGCGGGTGCGCGCAGCTTGCATTAATTAGGGCGACAGTGCCAACATGACGGGAAATATAATTACTTTTTTCAGATACTTTTCATTTTGTGGCTGCTTAGGTAAGTCGAAAGATGATTGTTATGACAAGATGTGCATTCATGTCCACTAAAAGTAGGGGGTGCTTTAGCATATTCCTGCACCCCCATCAAAAAAGTTGGGGGTGCACCCGAGTTTATCTCCCCCTCGAGGGAGCAGTGCTTCGTTGGGTTGGTGTCGGCTGAACAAGCATGCCTGGGGAGGGGGGGGGGGGAGGCGTGCTCAAGAACTGGAGTGAGTATTTACCGCGACTGATTAAATCGAGCACCCACTGGTTGGACGTAATTAACACCCGGGACCCCGCAAATTCTCAAAGATGGCCTCCCACGGGTCCGATGGTGGGAGGCCGCTATGAGTGGGGAAGTATTTATGTCAGCCCCCGGGATAAAGGGGAGCAGGCGACTGGGAACCGCAGCCGAGTTGGGGCCGTGCTTGTCCGGTAAATGACTGAGTTGGCGCACGCTGCCCTGGACATTGGGGTTGATGGCTTCTTACTAGCCTTCAACCGCTTTGCCTCAGCTTGCATGCAATCCTCGAATTTCCCTGCAAAGAGATCCTTGCCCTTTAGAAAGAAGGTCTCGAACCTCTTGCGGGCACCCTGTGACGGGAGAAAAAGTGCATTGAGCACATTACCCTGGCAGGTGGAGGTTGCTAAGGTCATCACTCGTTCAAACTGGACAAGCACTGAGCCAAGACCGTGGTCAAGACAGTGAAAAGCAGCGGTCCGCATGTCCACCAGAACTGCCGGGTCTGTTGTAAAAGTGTAATGGCAACCCCAAGGCCAAAAAAAAAAAAAAGTCAGTCTCTGATTAGCGCGCGCGTCGATTTTAATCATGCGCGTCAATCTTCTTTTTTTTCCAAAATGTTCCGCGGTAGCTCCAACAGTGGCCTCTATTGCCGCACCTCCTCATTTCTTTTTACCAATTAGCACCAAGGAATGGGAAATTGCACCAAGGCAAATGATCGAAAGCACCAAGGATAATTATGGAGGACACCAATGTACATGAGGACACCAAAAAAGCAAAATAGTACCCCACCTTGTCTGTACAATTCAAGCTTGAAGAAAAAAAAAAGAAGCCGCATCTCCGCGTCAATTCCGGAACATTGGTCTGACCAGAGACCGAATATTTTTTTTTTTGGCCCAACAGACACACCAACAGACAAATTATAAGACAGGGAATGAAAACAACTTCTTACTTTCTTCTATTACATTAAAAAAAAACTTCAAATATTCTTCTTCACATATATACA